TGGGAGTGGGACCCAGTTACTTTTTCTCAGAAGGGCATTTTGCATTTCCCTTACGGTGACCCATTACTCTAAAGCCTCCTATGGGTACGTGCTCCTCGCAGCCCACGACTAGCAGCCCTGTTCCCTAACCCTGAGGCATAGTCAGCTCAGTGTCTGCCCAGCTCTGGCTCCTGCGGTTTGTTCCCACTCCATTGTTTACTAAAGGGCAAAGTGGAGAATCGGAGACAGTCAATCACACAAAAAGAAGAACAGGAGGACTTGTGGCACCTTAGAGACTAACAAATTTATTAGAGCATAAGCTTTCGTGGACTACAGCCCACTTCTTCGGATGCATATAGAATGGAATCACACGTGAATTTAAGAAACTGCACCAGGTTCTGAGTGAGGAAGAGCAGCTGCTCCTGTGGAGACTGGCGGCGGACGAGAGGGAGACACTGCAGAGACTACAGGACAATATAACAAAGCTCTCAGAGCAGAGCACCACTCTGATCAATCTCATCACAGAGCTACAGGAGAAGTGTCTGCAACCAGCCGCTGAGCTGCTGCAGGTGAGACTGTTAACAACCTCCCCATCATCCATCCTGCAGCACCAAACCCTCCAGTCAGTGACCAGATCCCAGGAATTGTGACCAATCCTATTTCCAGGGCCTGATCTGACAGTTTCCCGACATGAACAGAAGCCCAGGCGTGACATCCTGTCACAGCGACACGCACAGTCTGTGTTAGAGGGAAATGCAGACATAGCAGGGGCTTTGCCTGTCGAACGGGTGGGGCAGAAGGAGCAAGGGGTTGATGTGGTCCCTGCTGCGACAGCTGGAACCTGACCCAATGCTGCCGATGAGCAGAGATTCTCAGCTATGTGGGGACAAGGGGGCGTCCAGAGGGGAGAAACACAAGACAAAGTGGACTCTCAAATTCATGACATGAAAGGGCCAAGACTCTCATCACCGGCCATTGGTGCTGGGGGCCTCCATCTCTGGGTGCCAGTCTGGGATCCCTTGGCCTGATAGTGGGAAGTGCTGAGCAGTGGGAGCTGCAGCTGCTCCAGGTGAGGATCCGGGCACTGTCGCCTTAGATCTGCAGCAGGAACCTGCACAGGTGTGAGGCTGGGGACAGTTGGGTGGCAGCTCTGCAGGGAAGGGGAGGGACAGACAGAGGGGCGTTAGGGATGCTGCTGCTTTCCTTGTCCCAACAAGGCTCCCTGTTCAGTGTTCGCAGAACATCACATCCCCCCCAGTCTGTGCCATGGTCACATGACACTCAGCTCCTCTGAGAGTCAGAACCAGGGCGACGGGCACCTGAAATCGGTGCTCACTGCCCAGTGTCCTGCACAGAAGTGGCTGCCCTGACATGCTAAATGTGGTGGATTCAATGTGGTAGAGAATGGAAAGTCACTCGGTGGTTTTGCATGTAGTGTTAACCCAGCTCCCTGTCTCTCTGTCTCCTTTCAGGATGTGAAAAGCACATTGATCAGGTCTGTTCCCATTTCCTTTTCTCCTTCTGTTCCCATGAGTGATGTGGGTACAGAGCAGATGAGTGATGAGGGGACGTTTTCTTCACAGGAGTGAGCATGTGAAACTCCAGCCACCAGAAGCCGTTTCTCCTGCCCTGAAGAACGGGTATAAAATCTGCCTTGACATGAGGGAAATGCTGAAGAGATTCACCTGTGAGTGAGCGCGCCTGGGCTGGGTTTCCTCTACATGTGGGTGGGGAGGTGAATCGCCAGGTGTTGTGCATGGGGACAAGTGATGAGGGCCACATTGTGACCGGCAGGCTGGTGTGGCAGCAAACCCAAGACCTGGCCTCCCTAAACTAGGAGAAATCCCCTTGCTGGGGATGTTGACAGTCATTCACTGCAAGTCACTGGGGTCTGGGCTCCATTTCTTAGAGAGGGTTGAAGTAGAGCCGAGCAAAATGTTTTTGGCAAATAGTTAATTGGCCAGAAAATTATATTTCGGGTTGACTGAAACGATTTGTGAATTCATGCTTGATGAGTCGCGGCAGACATTATCCATAGGCTAGCTGAAGCGTCCCCAGGTGAGGACAAGCCATTTCCACGGCCTCCTGTTTTCGCTGCTGGACCATTGGCACTGTCTGGCTTCCTCATTGTTGTACCTGAAAGGCTAGTTGTGGGTGTTACCCAGAGCAAGCACATTTGAAATACAGATACATAGTCAATATTCCTAACTTTAGATACAAAAATGTTACATGCACACAAATAGGTTCATCATATTCAGCAAATCATAACTTTTCCATAGACACCTCACGTGGCACATTTTGTACAAGATGTAGCTTAAAGTGTGAACTGGGACTGGCCCCCGGTGCAGCTTCTCCCAGATGGAGGAGGCAGTAAGTGGGGTAAATTCCCCTCCCCTCCTCACTGCCCCGGCCTCATTAGAAACAGCCCCTGTTCCCCCAATACCCGGTTACACTTCCCAGCACCGTGCTCTGCCCTGCCCAGTCATCCTGCCCATGCCCTGGGGAGAGGCCGGATTGGGCAAGGGAAGGGCCTGGCTGTGGGGTTTGCCTGGGTGGCAGGCGATGACCATGGGGCCGGCCGGGAGAGTCCCAGCTGCGCCCCTGGGGCAGGACTGCCCACCCATTGTGTGTGGGGATGGCACCGACCTGCTTTTAGTAACAAACCAACCGTGCATGGCCCCAAAGCAACAGAGATTCCCTGGGGCCTGGCCCTTCCATCACTTCCGTCTGCACCCTAGGCACCCACCTCTCTCCTCATTCCCTCTACCCATCCCCTTCCCCCTGCCCCCTCCAATACCAGCCAGTCCCTTCCCCCTACACTGTGGCACTCTTACGCTCCCCCTTCCCTACTCCCTTTGACACTCACAACATCTGCTTCTTCCCCATTGGTTCCAGGGCCACCCCTCATCCTCCAATGCCTCATCCTCCAATGCCTGCCCCTCCCCACACCCTTGGTTCCCCCAAGCCTGATCCTCCTCTTCTCTTTGCTTTCCCAGCCTGGTATCTGCCCTCTGGAGCCTGCCCCTCCTCCACCCCCACTGATATCTCCCCCTTGTCCTGCCCCTCCCCTTTAACCCCCCCCCCCCCC